CAGCCCGAAAAGCATTTTCAGAGACCATAGTACCTTTAGGAAAACCAGAACTTCCACTAGTGTATAAAATAGTGAAGCAATCTGCTGGTTTTGTATTGACATAGTCATATTGATTTGTAGAACCATAGTTCTCAATATCTTTCATATAGTGAATTGAGATCCCCTGTTCTTTTGTAATTGCTAAAAAAGATACAAAATCTATATTTGTCAAAACTATGAACTTACTTGATATTGTATCGGGAATAGGATCCATGCACACAATATGTTGCAATGATGAGCATTGTTCGTGTATATCAATAAATTTTGGTAGTAATTGCTTGTCACAAACAATCACTGATACTTGTGTATTATTGATAACATATGCAATTTCATTTTTATTAAACAGAGTATATATTGGTACGCTAATAATACTTTGAAAAATGCATGCAAAATCGGTGATCATCCATTCAGGTCTGTTTTCTGCACAGATACCAAGATAACCTCGTGGCTCAATTAAACGTCGTAGTCCATGTCCAAAGTTCTTTGATCGATCACCAATGTTCTTAAATGTAAACCATGAATATGAATCCATATAGATGGCAGGATTCTCTTTGTCAACATCTCGTATACCCATACAATAACGATCCCAATATTTGTCTATTGCAGTTTGAATGATTGTCATCATGTCTTTTATGCGACATTTCTTTTTTTCTGCACGTCCATATGCAAGCTCAGGAACCATTCGATGAGGATGTGGTGGATCTACTGTCTTTGCACATCTTTCACAATAATCATAGTCGTCACAGGTTGTGCAATTGTAACGAAATTCACCATGATTAAGTGTACGATTGCAATTATTACAATACCAAAAACTTAATTTTTCAGAAGTAGTCATATTTACCTAAATCCTGGAAATCGATAAGGCTGTTTAATAGGAAATTGATTCCTACTAGGAGATTTTCTAACGATTAAATGCTATAACCACTTTTTTCTTTTCGACAGATGTCGCACAGAGAAGAGAAATGACAAGATGAAAACCCTAGGTTGATAATATTTGATTCAGAAAAAATTACAATGACTATTCGGATTTATTGTTTGTTCTATTTTGCCCAAATGTTGAGCAAGACTCTTGTTAAAAGAAATGAAATGATTCGCTCACTTTTTCTGTTATTCACAAATTGCAAAGACAATAGATGTCTTACGATAATAGGTGGTGGCAATGCTATATCGTCTATAAAATTTTGTGCGACATGAATAGAATGGCAAAACTTTTTTACTGGTTCTTCCTGTGTCAATGAATAATGCATACTTATCTTGTATATGAGTCAGCGTTTTTTATACGATGCTTATTTCGAAGTTTTAATTAAACATTAGATAAAATAAGTCAAACAAGATTAATTTAGTGCAACAATGAATGTTTCGATTAATTAAGAAGAATATCATTTCAGTTAATAGTATAAAAACACATATCAGAAGCGATCTTCAACGACATCTATTTTTTTTTATGATATTTAATATATAGTTCAAATGATAGTGTGCCGAATACACCTGGTAGACTTGATTTTTTTTTCAGTTTTTTTTATACACTTAAGATGTTCACAGTTTAGCAAATGACAAACTAGTGTGTCTTATATTTATGATGACTGATTAAGACACCTGATTATTGTAGGTTTGTTTGTTGCCAAAAAAATGAAACTTTTTACTTATAATTTTAAATATATTACAACAAACCCTTCCAACAATGTTGAAGGTTCTTGAGTTGATTTATACAATACAACTTTATCCTTCCGTTCGATATTCATACAGAAGTGTATTCTTCTTTAAATGATTTATTTGTTTTTATTCTAACTAAATTTATTCTCGGTAATAGTATAATAAAATTCATCGATTAGCCCATAGGTCCACTAAGAGAATCTACGAATCCTTTCATATAGAGTTCTGATGGAGTCTTCTGACTAATCTCATGTTCATATATTGATCTTAAAGATCTCTTCTTCCATACTGGTACAGTTTGAGGAACAATTGCATCAGCTGGCACTCGACAACTAAATGAATAACGTCCACCGGTATGCAATACTGATTTAGGATGATTTTGATAAGCATTTCGGTATTCACTATCAAGAGTATATCGAGCTCGTTCACGCCAAAAAGGATGCGATCGATTATAAGCCATTGGTAGACAAAATCCTTGAGATGCTCCTTTAAAAAAGCAAACAATGCAACATCAAACTGATGACAAAAAGAAATAAATTTTTTCACTTACCTGGGTAGTCTACTTGATATGTCGAATCTAATTGATTTCTTATTGCTTGATTTATTTCTTCAGATGGTAGATCAGAGATACTTTCAGATCGACGAGGCCAATAAGGAAATTGCTTATGTGGATGAGGTCGATTGGCTCTATGTGTATTCGGACGAATGAAAGGTTCTTGTTGAACATTTTTTTGATTAGTAAAATCAATTCTATATAATGATTCACCTATAGGACCATTCAATTGAAATGGACAACCAATTAAAAATTGTTGACTAAATGGTACACCTTCATCAATTGATGATGATCTTTTTAAGACAAATTCTCGTCTATATGTTGTTTGATATTCTTGATTTCTTTTCGAACAACAGGGTGTATTCGATCGAGAACGAATATTATTAGCTTCCATGCAGTCTTTTACAAAATGACGACAATAGCCGAAAGCAAACATACATCATTGAATTAGATGGTCATGCTTTCAAATAATTATAAACAAAGAGAACAACAAAACGTAACAATATCGTCCTGGAAACCAGTTTACAACAGCTATCAATTGAAAAGAACAAAAAAAATTTCGATTGATTGACAAACAAATAATGTGCATACATGTTTGTTTACAATCAATAATCATATGTTCTATCAATCATATGAATAACATACTATTATATTTTAGAAAATAACTTGGAGAATTATTCTTGCTTTCAGTAATTAACAGATATTTTCTTTTTTTTTTTTTGAAGTCTTAGAAAGAATAAAAACCTAATATTGAAAAGAGACAAAGAAAATTAATCAAACAAAAAAAAAACACAATAAAAAATAGAACATGAGCAAGGCCAATCAACACACAATCATACCGAATTCAAACAATAAAAAATTAATAATAATGAAAAGGCTATAGAAGCAATGGAAAACGAACGATTGACGAATAAAAAATAACTTTAGAAGACTTCTTACATTCAAAAAATATCTACTAATCTCAATTCTATTTTGAAAGCTTCCAAATAGAGAACAAACAATTAGAGTAAACCTATCGATCTTTATGTTTTAATCATTATCTCCTATCTTTGAGGTGACTATTCCATTTCGATTAGAAAATTTTATTGAGGGTATCAAAGTACGATTCAACCGAGTCCGAAGGCCGCATCCAAAAAAGTTTAGACGTGACGGGCTCTACTATATAGTTTCATTTTGGTAGAAACAACAGCTTAATTCAATAGAAAATTTTGTAAAGAAGCGTTCGCTCGACAAAAAATCGATTCGAATGTTTTTTTTTGGCATTTTCGAAAAGAAACTTATAGGAGTTAGCAAAAGCTGATTGATTCACAATTCAATCTAATTTTTTGAGTCTTCAAAAAATTTCTTCATTAGTCTCTCAAATACTAATAGACACAATATTTCTAATTTCATATTGAAAAAAAAAGCACAAAATTCTGATCATCATCTATAGTTTTTGACTTGTTTGAAATGTTTTCAAGCAGATCAAAACTAGCAACCATTGGTACCAGAAACTTAGGTTTATAGTTTGTGTTCAAATCTATGGGAAAAGAGCTGATTTTTTTCAACTTTTTATCAATTTTAAATAAAAAAAAATCACTTATTCAAAAAGATCTTGTTTTCAACTTTCTGTGTCTTGATTTTAAATATTTTCTTATAATCTAAGTGTGTAGGTAGAACCTGTTTGTTAAAAGAAAATGCTTCATACATTTAGAGAATGAGATTTACCATAATAATTACAAAAGTGATATCCTCAATTTTTCTGAAGTTTTTGATTACACTAATTTCTTTTTATTTCAAGTTGACAGAAAATCAAAAAAAATCAAACCTTTACCTTCGATTTTTAATCGGCAAAATCTTATTCCAGCTTTTTCTTCTTTAGTTCAAACTCTTTCTTTTTGGCTCTTTCAAAGGTTATCTCACTACTCTCGAACAAAAACTGAGATAAAATTTTTAAGTTCATATTCAAAAAGTGCACAATATACTGGTTTTTCTATTAACCGATAGAGAGATGTTTGCTCTCTCTCTCTCTTTCTCGAAAAGAAAAAAATACTTCTCTATGATGTATATAAATCGAGTTATCAAAAAACAAAAAAAAGATTAAAAGTAGTTCTTTGCAGCAGAATTAGGACACCTGAATCTATCTAATTCTCACTTGCATTGTTCTTGGAGGATTCAAAATAGTATTAAACAAACCTGAAGTATAAGTAAATATGCATATAAAATAAGAAAAATTATGGATTGTATACCTCTTTTTGTAATTTGTGTGCAGTGACCATTGTTATAGGTTGTTTTTTGAGAACAAAAAATATACAGGTAATAGATTTTTTTGAGAATAAGAAAATCTATAGTTCCATAATTCTTGTTAAAAATATCGTACATCAATATCCCTTGAATTCAATTTAATAATAGAGATTCTGAATTGTTAATAAATCAATGACTTTTATGCTAACCACTGGAATGTAATAAAGACATTTTGTATTGACGAAACTAAATCGAAACTTATAGTTAATGCTTGAGTTTTAGTAAAATTCAATTATGAAAAAAAATTTAAATATTTTTGTGAGTGAAGATATTCACTTTATTTAATCTCAATTTCATGTTTTCAATTGAAATCCGAAGCAATGGAAAAAAAAGAAAATTTTTCATCATATGTCTACTAAATTTTAGCATCGATTTTATTTCGAAAAACTTTTATTTTTATTCTCATCTTTTCTTTTACTATCACCATTATCAATTACTTGAATTTATTTCTTTGATTTTAAAATATTCGCCTAATGTTTTTTGAGATATATAAAAAAATGCATTCATCTGTGAATACTGCAATCTTATTGCTGCTGATGAATGATGCTGATAACATAGCAAATGTACATAGTATGACAGTTTGGATTGAACTGATTGGCAATTGTAATCATATGTTGTATTAACTGATTGAAGAAGATTATCGAATTATAATTGTTGATACAACTCGACCAACTATCTGCTTTACCCATTGATTCAACAACTTTTAAATCCTTTAAAATTAGTGTTTACTCATGAAAATTGCAACATAGAATCTGATAAACACTTTCAAGAAAGATCTTGTTTATTTATTATTTATCAAATTGATATAAAAAAATATAAATGTAGCAGACACTGAAAAGAGTTCTAACGAGGGAAGGTCACCAACTGTTCAATCGCTTTTGAGTCGGAACTATGTGCATCATGTAGGTCCTAATGAGCTATGAATACCCTGAAAAGAGTTCGGGCGGATAGCTTATTACTGTCAAGATACTGCATTTTTACGATATTTTTAAGCAAAATGCCGTGGTCCTCCTCAGGAACACCAGCAAAACTGAGTTTTGAATTTCGACTTGAAATTTGGCACAGAAACAGATCTCAGTGGGAGTAGCTTATTGTGAAAGTTTCAGATCTTTTGGTTGCTCCCATTCGTCAATAAGAATATTGGAACCCGTCGGGGGTATACGAGCAGTGTAAAAACACATTTTTTTAACTGTATCTTAGGATAGAAACAACCAAAAGACCTGAAACTTTCACAATAAACTACTCTCACTGAGGCCTGTTTCTGTGCAAGGTTTCAAGTCAAAACTCGAAACTCAGTTTTTCTGATTCCTGAGGGGGACCACAGCATTGTGCTTAATTAAAAATACCACAAAAATGCAGTATCTTGACAGTAATAAGCTATCCGCCCGAACTCTTTTCAGGGTATTCATAGCTCATTAGGACCTACATGATGCACATAGTTCCGACTCAAAAGCGATTGAACAGTTGGTGACCTTCCCTCGTAAGATTAACAACATTATCAAATCTTTATTTTACTTTTTATGTCATAGCTCTGTTTGATATTTAACATTTATATTAATTTATAAACTGGAATGCATTACATTATCGATCAGAAAACTATAGTTATTGATTCAATCTATGTAATCAATAGCATAATCTTGTAATTCTTTGCACTAGTGTCATGAGTTTTACAAAGATTAACTTATCTTTAAGGAACCACTCTTCTCTCAGGAAGAATAGATTGTTATTATTGATTAATCTACTGTCCCTAAAGACATGCGGAGTCACACTGTTTAAATCCCGACTTCAAAAAACTCCGAGAAATTTTTCTATGTAAATTAGGCATAGCTTACGTATACGGTGGTATTATATAATTTAAGATAGCGTGAAGACGATGAAAATATATCTAATGACGAAAGTGGGGATATTGAATGACGCTGATTTTTTTTTGTAATAAACACTTGTAAAAGTTAATCCTTTGTTTTTTTTAGTTTCACATTGCGAGAAGCTATTTTTGATCAATCGATTGAATATTAAATACCAGAGGTCTCAATTGACTTGGCTGGACCAAAGAAATCTGTTCCGTCCACGAATCACTCATCTAATCGCATCGGATAAATTTTTAACACATGAATGAGAAAGCATATTTCGAGTACCAGTAGATGATGCATAAACAAATATTCGGTAACATATTTGATAACTTGTAAGACCTTCAATTCTCTCGAATTTCACAAATATTTTCTGATCTTTTAGTTAGTAAATTAAAATCTCTTCAACACAAAGATGTATCTCACTTTTTCATTTTTAATAACAGCATATACTGATGGTTGTTGTTTCAAAAGAATTTTCATTCATTTGGATGTATATTATTTTGTATGTAATGATAAACTAGCATCAGTAGTTGAAGAAAAAGTAATTGATGGTGAATGAGAACTAGGTAAGAACATTTTCTTCAATATAAAGAAATTCTTTTTTTAAGGTAACAACGATTTTATCTTTTTCTGTTTTGTTTTCAGTGTTTGCTGTTCATTGCAGAAATGCTTTAGTCAATGTAAGTATAATAAATTACTTCATTTAGACAATACAGAGAATAGAAAAAATCAGTTGAAAATGAGTTTAAAATATAGTTGTAAAAAGAATACGACTACTCAAGTTTTTCATTATTAATAATTTTAGAATTTTGATCTTGATACTAATATGATTCTTCTTGTTTATCAGCAAACTTATTCGCTCTAACTTTTAATGACTTTTTCGATGAACACAAATTTCATCTTTAAATATTTTTTGTCAGTTAATCCATATCGATGTAACTCTACTAGATACGTTCCAAGCAAAAATATATAAGAGAAGATTTTCAACAATGTAAGACTTTATTAAATCATGGTCATTTTATTCAATTTTACTTACAAATCGTCTTCATCAACACAAACAATAGTATTAGTATACAATACAATGAAACAAAAAAAAAAAAAAAATTTCGAAAACATATTCGTGAGCAAGAAAAAGCAAACGTCTATAATACATCATAATAGAATATAGATATGATTATTAATTAGCAAAACAATAGAATGTATAGAATAAATAGAGAAGAAGTACGATAAACAAAAAACAAACAGATGTATCTGACACTCG